TTTTAAGTTCAACATTTTTCTCTTCCATTGGCTGCTTTCTGATGCTAGAAATTGTCTTTTAAAGTAAAATACAGCATCCAAAGCCCTGCGGTGGCCTTTGTGAAAGGGACTGTGGAGACGGCTCATAGGCAGGAGTGACCATCGTGGTCCCACCAGACAAGGCTGAGCTAGTTACCCATCTGAGTCCCCTGTGACTCCTGAACTGGGGATTTTAGGGGGGAGACAAGAGGAAGAGGTGGGGATGCCGGCATTCTCTGTGCACTGACGGCTCCACGGAGCCCAGGACCTTCCGCACGTGAGGTGTGTCTGGGTCTGAGGGCCTGGGCTTTGCTTCGTGGATGGAGGTTTTGCTGTTTGTTCCTGGGCCCCGGGCAGGCTGTCTGGCTGTGGGGGACCAGACCTCACGTGTGGACATCCTTGTCATTTTGTTTTTTTGGAAAGCGCCGTGGCCATTCAAACTCCACAGTCAAACGCAGACTGGATTTTGAAGTTGTGCCGTTGCTCACTGGTGGGGAGTGTCAGAGCTGACACATGTGTTGATGACAGTTTGATGGCACAGGACTCACATTTTGATGAGGGTGTGTTGTGCACTCTTGCTGTTTTATTCTGTTCCTTGCGTTATTTCTGTGAAGGAAGGAGAGACAGGTGATGCCGACTTCAGAGGCTGTGAGAACATGGAGCTGGAAGGCGGCTTCTGTGCTGAGGGTTACTGGGTCTCTGTCTTCGAGGGTTGCAGGGCCTCGGTCTCGGGGAGGACGCGGCGGCCTTTGCAGCACGTGGAGAGGGCTGCTCCTCGGCTGGACCGGGCCGGGCTCTGAGTCACTCCAGCGGCAGCGGGGAGGGCTCCAGGGGGTAGGCACTGGCTGCGGTGTCGGACGGTCCCGTGTGGGCAGGTGTAGACACAGCCCAGGGATTCCAGAGTCGCCCGTGATCCCCGTCCGGAGCCGGAGCCTGCGCCTGTGTGCGCAGCGCTGAGCTGTGGTGGAAGGAATCTGGCGCCTGTTACAGACGGCGTGTGCAGGTCTGAGCCTGGCGGCGGGAGCGGCGGGCTGGGTGTGGGGCCTCCCGCTCCTGCCTGGGGACGTGGACGTGGCTCCTGGCTCGGCCAGCCCTCTGGCTGCAGAATGGTAGGAACTTGATCGAAGTTTTGTCCTCGAGCGCTGGACTCAGCAGGCCACGCGGCCTTGCTGACGCGTGTCTGTCACAGAAGCCGGGCTGGCCTCGCCCGCGGTTCTGTGGACTCAGCAGAAGCGCTTGGCCCAGAGCGGTGCTGGAGGGTCAGTGCTCCATCTTCACCGCTTTTCAGTGGCGCTAAAATCAGACCCGTGCCGTCGGGTCCTGGGGTCTGCAGAGGACGCGGGTCTCTGTCTGTGGCCCAGAGTCCAGGGCCTGGAGGGGCGGACTTGGAGCAGAGCCTGGGAGCCCGCTGGGCTGGCCGCCAGCCTCTGTTCTGGAAAAACGTTTAGACACGCTCCGCTCCGGTGACTTCACAGGAAGGAACGAGAGGGCGGCGTCCTGCCAGGCGCCGGAGATACCTGGGAGCTAGCCCGAGGGCTGCAGGGGGAGGCGGAGCTGCCTCCGGAGTGTGGGTCCCTGAGCCTGTCTTTGCCCGGAGGAGAGCCAGGCCTCAGGGAGCATCTTCTGGTTGCCCTGGAGAGCGCCCCCTTCTCCACCATTTGCAGGAGGAAGGGCGAGGACTCCCGGAAGGCGAGGAGGCTGTGTGCGCCTGCCGGTGATCCCGTTGGGGCTTTCTCTCCTGAGGACATTCAGTGTTGTTTTGTTCTCATGCGTTTTTAAAAGCAAGTTCTTGCACTTACAAAAAGAAAACAAAACCCTGAGGAACAGGGGCTGGCCTCTTTACGAACGGGAACAGGTGCATGTGGTCACGTAACAAGCTGTGATGTGGCACCCGCCAGTCTGGAAATGACTTGTTCATTTGACGGATGTTTCGTGAGCACCTACCGGGTGGTGGGTCCTAAGCGTCCTCAGTCCCAGGACTAGGCAGTGAGCAGATGGACCAAGCGCTGTTCTGTGGGGCTGATGTTCTGGTGTTTGGGGGAGAAGAGAGATGAGGAAAGCACACCGTACTTGAGATGAGGATAAAGGTAAAGCAGGAGGCGGGGCTGGGGTGCCGAAGGGGCCTGGGGACCCATGGCAGGGGCCAGGAGAGGCCTCGCTGGGAAGGCGGTACTGAGTGAGGATCTTAGGGTGAGTGAGTGAGCTGTGCTGACATCCACGCAAGAGCATTCGGGGTGGAAGGAACGGCAGGTGCAAAGGCTCTGTGGCAGGAATGTGTCTGGAGCAACGAGATGGCTGGGGGCTGTGGTGCTGGGACTGAGGAAGACAGAGCTTGACCTCAGGGAGGCAGCAGTGACAGAAAAGGGTGCAGGCAGATCTGACTTGTGTGTTTGTGGGCCTCCTGGCCGCTGTGTTGAGATGGTTATAGGGGAGAGAGGAGGGGGCAGGGAGGCCAGTTACGAGGCTTCTACAGTAAGTCAGGCAAGAGATGGAGGGTGGCCCTGGAGGGAGGGAGAGTGGCTTGTCAGATTCTGGTCGGTTTTGAAGGTGGAGCTGAGGAGATTTGCTGACAGATCAGACACTGCGAATGTGAGGGAGGGCGGAACTGGTTTTGTCCCGAGCGGGTGGGAGCAGGAGGCTCAGGCAGGGAGGCCGAGGTGGCCTTCACAGTGGAGCTGGTGACACTCGTTTGTGAGAACATTTACTATCTGCTTTCTCAGCGTGTTTCAGATACGCAGTCCAGCATCACTGACTGTAGTCACCACAAGTACATCACATCCCAGGACTTAGGAGTTTGTAACTGGAAGTTTGCACATTGTGTCCATCTTCATCCGTTTTGTACATGCCCCACCCTGCTTCTGGCAACCACCAGTCTGCTCTCTGTATCTATGAACTTGTTTTGTTTTTTAAGCTTCCACACAGAAGTGAGGCATACGTATTTGTCTGTCTCTTTTTGACTTATTGCCTTAGCTTAGTGCCTGCAGGGTCCATCCCTGTTGTTGAGAATGGCTGGATTTCCTTCTTTCTCATGGTTGAGTAATATTCCATGGTGACTATGCGTGTGTGTGTGTGTGTGTGTGTGTGTGAATCACATCTTTCTCCATTCATCAGTCAGTGGACACTTGGGCTGTTTCCATGTCTTGGCTGTTGTGAATGATGCTGTGATGAATGGAGGTGGTGCACATATCTTTCTGATACCCTGTTTGGATAAATATCCAGACAAGGGATGGCTGGATATGATGGCAATTCTATTTTTAATTTTTTGAGGCACCTCCATACTGTTTTCCACAGCGGCTGCACCAGTTTACCTTCCCACCAACAGTGCAGGAGATTCCCTTTTCTCCACATCCAACCGACACTTGTTACCTCTCGTCTCTTTGATGACTGCCATCTGACAGGTGTGAGGTGTTAGCTGATCGTGCGTTTGATTTGCATGCCTGATAATTAGACTGAGCATCTTTTCGTGGACCAGTTGACCATTTGAATGTCTTCTTTGGAAACATGTCTATTCATCTGCTTTGCCCATTTAAAAAATCAGAGGAGCTGTTTTTTTTGGCTCTTGAGCTGTATGGATATTTTTTGTATATTTTAGACGTTATCTCCTTACTAGATGGTTTGCAGGTAGGTCCCCCTTCTGCAGGGTGCCTTCTCACGTTGTTGATGGTTTCCTTTGCTGTGCAGAAACTCTTTGGTTTGATGTGGTCCCCTTGTTTATTTTTGCTTTTGTTACCTTTGCTTTTGGTGTCAAATCCAAAAATGCATCACTGAGACCGATGTCAGGGACTTGACCACCTGTATTTTCTTCTAGGAGATGTGTGGTTTCAGGTCTTACATTCAGTCTCTAATGTTTAATCCATTTTGAGTTAATTTTTGTTTACAGTGTAAATAGTGGTCCAGTTTCTTTCTTTTGCACGTAGCTACCAGTGTTCTCTCCACTCTTCGGCGAAGAGACCATCCTTGTCTTATTGTGTATCCTGCCTCCTTTCTTGTAGGTTAATTGGCCATGTGAAGTGTGGGTCTGTGTCTGGTTTCTCTGTCCTGTTCCGTTGGTCTGTGTGTCTGTTTGTGCCAGTGCCACACTGTTCTGATTACCGTGGCTTTGTAACACAGTCTGAGACCAGGAAGTGTGATGCCTGCGGCTTTGTTCTTTCTCAGGATTACTTTGACTATTTGGGGTCTTTCGTGTTTCTATACACATTTTAGGGTTGTTTGTTGTATTTTGGTGAAAAAAGCCATTGAAATTTTGATAGGTATTGCACTGAATTTTTGTACTGCTTTGGGTAGCATAGGCATTTTAACAGTATTAATTCTTCAAATCCGTGAGCACGGAAAATCTTTCCATTTACGTGTGTCTCCATTTTCTTTCATTAATGTCTTGTAGTTTTCAGCGTATAGGTCTTTTATCTCCTTATTAAAATTTTTCCCAGATTTTTTCTTTGTGATGCAGTTGTAAATGCGGTTAGTTTCTTAATTTCTCTTTCTGATCGTTCATTATTAGCGTATAGAAATGCAGAAGGTTTTTGTATATTGATTTTGTATCTTGCAATGTTACTGACATTGTTCATTCTAACAATTTTTTGGTGGAATCTTTAGGGTTTCCTGTATGTAATATTGTGTCATCTGCAAAGAGTGACAATGTTACTTCTTCCTTTTGGTTTGGATGCTTTTTATTTCTTCTTCTTGTCTGATTGCTCTGGATAGCACTTCCAATACTATTTTGAATGAAAGTAGTGAGAGTGGCATCCTTGTCTTGTTCCGTATCTTAGAGGAAAGGCTTTCTAGCTTCCCCTTCCTTTCGTAGGACGGTGTTTG